TGAACTGAGCAGTCGACCGCAGCTATAGAGCCAGTTGTCGAAGAACAAGATAGCGTAGATCGTAAAAGATATCTTTAGCTCCGTTTTCGATAGGACGGTACAAAAAAAGCCATAGCTATTGAGTACGGACGAGATAAAGTTCTGTATGAAACAAATAACCGCCGTAGAGCTGCTAAATGCGTCAACAGATGCTGTTTGTGCACAGCTGTTGTTACCATCGCTTACGAAGATGATGGCATTTCCCAACCAGCTACAAGCGATGTCTCTTCTGAACTGCAAATGGGTGTCGTATGCCAAGTGGTCTTCTAAAGGCGATGCCATTCTAGGATAGCAAGAACAACAGGAATTCGTAACGAAAGTTTCTACCGCGTCCAATGAGTCGACTTGTTGCGTTTAACTACGCAGACCAAGGTTCACTGAGCTGATGTAGATGTAGCCAGGCGACGAATGCCAAGAGTTCCTCTATGTTTATCGATTCGACTCATGCATCTATGCTAATTGAAAGTCACGCTTTTACCTCTTCAGGTGCTTTCATTCTGTCATACGCAGAAATCATTAGTAAGCAAATGACGAAAACCTGTAGCAAACTGCAACACCAGCTAAACCGTTAGCAGATTAAATAAAAATAAAAGTGAGAGTGGTGGTGTAGTGCGTAAGAGTTCTGATTCGATCTCCAAATCCGGAAGGGCGGAGTCTGATTCCCGAGACGGGTAAGCGTGGCTTTATCACGCTAATAAATTAGTGAGAAAGAAACAGAGGAATAAAACATGTTTCTCAAAGAGCTGCTGTCGATTTCGCCATTAAAGATACGCTACTCATTGCTGATGACATGGAAATGAAGATCAACGTTTCACCATTAACTCCAGAAGAACAAGGATGCTAAAATTGGCTCAATCATGTAAGTGCAAGAAAGACCGACATTCAAACGTTCCATTCTTCTTCAGTCATGAAAATCTTCGCCCACGTTTTCCCACGGTAACTTTGAAGATTCAGTCATATTTGTCATCTTCATCTTCCTCTTCCATGACCGCTTCTCCTTGCGGGTCGCGGAGGCAGACGCGTCAGAGAGTGCTTCCATCGTTCCCGATCCTGTGCCAGAGTCTGAGCTTCGGTAGAAGACAATGCTATGCGTCTGCTACCTAATCTATTTGTCTATAAGGCGCGAAAGTAGACAAGACACAATTATGATACAGGATCAGGTCTGCAGTAGAGGTGTGGATATTTCCAAAAAGGCAATTTGTGACGCTGCCAAATAAATGTTCAATATTATTTGCACAGGCATATTATGATGCATCAAGTTGGCGCGATTATTTTTAGACAATGTTATAATGTGAAAAAAGAGGGCCAGTTGGTGCGCTATTATTCCCTCAAGAACGGCAATATTAAGACACAACCAAGGCCTACCTCTTTAATTCGACCGTTCTGCCAGCAAGTTTACACGGCTTTGAGACGTGGTCACTCACTACGACTGAAAAAGGCTAGCCATCTGTCATCAGTAAACCCACAGAAAGAAGAATGTTCGGAATCTCACGTCGCAACTACATTTCTAACACTATGATCAGACAGCCGATATGAGTGAAGAACATTGTCGTCGAAAATATAAAGGAGAAGCTACAGTAAGTCGGACACAGCTCGGTTCACCGACGGGAGATGGGCAGCGATGATTGCTGAATGATGTTCTTACGGATGGACCAAGCAGCTTGGTCGCGCACCGAAGGTGGGAAGAAGCTCAAAACCGTGAGGAATGGCAGGCGTGCTACAGCCGTAACGATCCGTCATCGTCTCGAGCGGTGTCCACGTGATCCAAGTGAAATAATGTGGGCAAAACTTGATAACTACGACATTGCATTTTATATTACATGCACATTAGTTGATGAAATATTTTCAATGCTAGAATATAATCAATTATCAATGCCATTCAGCATCGTCACTGCCATTTTTCCTCCACACCCTATACAAATAATGACATGAGTTACCGTG